CTATTAATGTGACACTGTTTAGATCGGAATGGAAGGATATATACAATGGTTGACATACTAACAGAACTTACACCTATTAATGTGACATGTTTAGATCGGAATGGAAGGATATATACAATGGTTGACATACTAACAGAACTTACACCTATTCATGTGACACTGTTTAGATCGGAATGGAAGGATATATACAATGGTTGACATACTAACAGAACCTATACCTATTAATGTGACACTGTTTAGATCGGAATGGAAGGATATATACAATGGTTGACATACTAACAGAACCTATACCTATTAATGTGACACTGTTTAGATCGGAATGGAAGGATATACACAATGGTTCACATACAAACAGAACGTGGACTTTCAATTACATGTTCTCGACAAGATATAGTTGAACTCGAAAAAGAAAACTGGATTAAATAAATATTTATTGTTATTATTTATTTAATTTTTTTTGCAAAGCTGCACGGTGGAAAGACTGCGCTGTGTCCACCGCTGGGATCGAGTCGCCAATTCTAGCGTCATAAGCTCTCAGTCTTACCGCTGATTCTTCGGATAGGGGGCCAAACATTTAGAAATTCACAGTATCCTAAAAAAATACAAAAAGAAAATTAGGCATGTTTCGTTATATATACTAATAATGGTTAATGGTAATTAATGTCTTGTTGAGAACATCTGATTGTAAAGAGAAAAGATCAAAAGACATTAAGCGTGTAAGCTTACTAAAAGTTATTGAGAGACGAGTCTCTTGAAGAGAGAGAGAGAGAGCTAAAAAATCATCTTAGGAAATCGGTTCTCGTAAAGTGTACAATTTCAAAAGTCACTGACTGATGAAGATGTAACAACAAATATACCCGAAGGTTTCCATTTGAAGTTCATAAGGAATGGCAAGATGTGGAACTGTAGATTTTATAACTTGTTTTTTAAAGAGCTTTTGAACTATTCGAAAAATAAGTTGTTGTTTTTTTTATTATTTCTCCTCTCAAAAAAATAGATTCACCAATTTCGGTAAAATGAAAAGTGTTTCGTACATAAACACCATATATTTCAAAATCAAACATTGTGAATTTGTCTAATACGTTTATATTCAATAACACAGGCCTACGATGGTTTCATTGCCTTGAAATTTTTATATGTTTACAGTAATTCATGTACAGTGAATCCGAAATTGATATCCATTTTTCTCCATCACGTTTTCACCAAACGTCGTAACGCGATACATAAAAGAAAGACCATAAAATGTATTTTAGAGACTAAAAGACGTACATTTCACAAAAACAATCAGGATTAATGAGGATATGTATAATACACTAGAACTACAGTTGTAGACAGCAGCTATTACAGAATATACTACAGAATAATTCAATATGTATAATACACTAGAACTACAGTTGTAGACAGCAGCTATTACAGGATATACTACAGAATAATTCAATATGTATAATACACTAGAACTACAGTTGTAGACAGCAGCTATTACAGGATATACTACAGAATAATTCAATATGTATAATACACTAGAACTACAGTTGTAGACAGCAGCTATTACAGAATATACTACAGAATTATTCAATATGTATAATACACTAGAACTACAGTTGTAGACAGCAGCTATTACAGAATATACTACAGAATTACACAAGATCTATAATAAACTAGAACTACAGTTGTAGACAGCAGCTACGGCAGAATATACTACACAAGATGTATAATACATTAGGACTACAGTTGTTTCAAGTTACAGTTTTTAATTGTTATTTTCAAGCTGAAATCTGCAGTTTCAAAATTTATTTCTTTTTTCTGACGTTCTGATAACACTTCTTTCAGTTAATTTACTAATGATGTATGATTAACTTCTCCAAATGTAAAATCTATTGGTTCTGTAGATTTTTTTTAATTCGTTACTTAGTCACCGTAATGCACTTCGAGACAACGATATCAAAAATATACATTTGTAATGTTGCCTGAGCTGAAATACCAATAACTTTGTTAAATTGTGTAAGCAACTTGGAGGCAACAAAATTATTAACTTTTAAATATAGTTGTCCCTAAATCGTTTCTATCCTTGTAAAGATATTGTATATTTTCATTTCTAATAAGTTAAAATACCCTAACTCTGCTGTAAAATTGTAGATATTATGCTGTAAACCATATGTTAACCATATTTCAAAGTAAATATCTACTTCGTGACACCTACACGTATGAACACGAGAGTCTTTCCAACTGAAAAAATATCAAAAAGATGATCTTACTTATTTCTAAACAAAGGATTTATCCAACGTGCGCATAAGAAATGCCTATACAGGTTTTCATGTTAAAAGTATAACAAACATGACAAAGATATGTTATCGGTGTTAATTATTACAATAAATATGATGTGAAATAGTGCTGATGTTACTTGTTTACAGATAAATCTTGATAACAATGTGTTGTATAAATATTAATATCACGTTAATAGTGCTGGTGTTACCTCTATACAGCTAAATCATGATAATAATAATGCCTTACCTGAATATTAATATCACGTTAATAGTGCTGGTGTTACCTCTATACAGCTAAATCATGATAATAATAATGCCTTACCTGAATATTAATATCACGTTAATAGTGCTGGTGTTACCTCTATACAGCTAAATCTTATAACAATGTCTTACCTGTATATTAATATCACATTAATAATGCTAGTGTTAACTCTATACAGCTAAATCATGATAATAATAATGCCTTACCTGAATATTAATATCACGTTAATAGTGCTGGTGTTACCTCTATACAGCTAAATCTTATAATAATGTCTTACCTGTATATTAATATCACATTAATAATGCTAGTGTTAACTCTATACAGCTAAATCTTGATAATAATAATGCTTACCTGAATATTAATATCACGTTAATAGTGCTGGTGTTACCTCTATACAGCTAAATCTTATAATAATGTCTTACCTGTATATTAATATCACATTAATAATGCTAGTGTTATCTCTATACAGCTAAATCATGATAATAATAATGCCTTACCTGAATATTAATATCACGTTAATAGTGCTGGTGTTACCTCTATACAGCTAAATCTTATAATAATGCCTTACCTGAATAATAATAACCCCCCTTTAGAGCAGGCGTATTTTATGCTAGTGCAGATAAATAATGTTAACAATGGTTTATTTGTATATTAATATAACGTTAGTGTTAGATAGATACGCCTAAACTGTTATACAACAGTGTGTCGTCTGTATAGTGATATAATGCATCATTTGTTCTTAACTGTGATAATAAGGTAACTTAATGTTTGACAAAAACATTCGAAACATTATTTTTGGGAGGGGGAGATTCTATAAACAAACTATAATACAGTTTAATTAAACAAACTTGGACTAATTCTAGTTCATGCACTTGTTCGGAAATCAAGTGGTCTTATAGTGTTTATAAGCTTATTAACAATCACCAAAGACACTGAAACTCACGTTATAACTAAACTGATAAATATAACTATTGTACCATTAACCTATTGTCATCACATAAATGAAAAATTCTTATTGCTGGCATAACTTTGTAAATAAATTAGTTGAAATAATTATTAAATTTCCAGCTGATAGGAAACTCTTATTTATCTTTTCACAGTAAATAATGTTAATGGTGAAGAGAAAAGTCTCCATTTTAATCATCCAAAGTACGAAAATCTAAAAACAATGCAATTTCCAATACCAACAAAGGTAATATTTTTGAAAAGTGTCCTTTAGAGTCTTTGTTAAATTCCATGTAACAGTAATGCATATTTAAATAACTCGTGGTGCTTATTAGTACGCTCAAACACACCATAGTGGATAGTTTTTCTCGACTTGTTAAAATAATTCATAAAAAGGAACGAGAAATATTTTTATTTCCATTAAAAAAACAAAAAAAAATGAAATACTTATGTTTGGCGACAGATGGCGGCACATTTTTAATGGCATTCCAAACCAAGCATAGTTTCAGCTGCTCTATCGTTTCTTGCTTATGCCAAGCTTGTAATAATGCAGGACTTCCACGAAAATTGCTGTGAATATTAGTAAAAAACAAACGTCACCCTATACTTACTAGACATTCCGTTCTCTACATTTTTAGAACTTAACCAAATAATATCATTCAAAATATAGCGTATGGGCTAGTTAATTTTTCAGTTTTTGGATTGGTTGGAGGGACGGTATTGGAAATACTAACAACTACTGTATCTCTGACACATGTGCTAAACAAACAAACAAAAATAATATTTAGAAACATTACAAGTGGCAAAAAATTGGTGGTTTTAGCTTATCAAAAAGCACACCTTTTATCACTGTCTATGCCTTTTTTATCCAATAATTGATCAAATTTTTTTAATAAACCCTATTCATAATCTCTATAATTCTAGCCTAACAAACACGAGACATAAAAGATCTCTCTATAAAACCAATTTGAAATCTTCGTTATTCTGGCTTACCAAACAGAAGTCAGAAAAAATCTCTCGATAAATCCATTTCATAATCTTTGTTATTCTGGCTTACCAAACAGAAGTCAGAAAAAAATCTCTCGATAAATCCATTTCATAATCTTTGTTATTCTGGCTTACCAAACAGAAGTCAGAAAAAAATCTCTCGATAAATCCATTTCATAATCTTTGTTATTCTACTAGATCAAGCAAAGAGGAGCCAGAAAAGATAAACTCTTTTTATGGAGTGAACGCCTTTTAAAAGCTGAGCCAGAAAATATAAACTCTTGTAATGTTGCGGACGCTTTTTAGAAGCTGACAAAGCATGATATAATTAATGATATTTGTCACGAGACATCATGTTAAGCCTATTATATTTTTAACATGCGTTCCTAATCTAATCCCTTGTGAATTTTCAAGAATTAGGAGAGTGTATTATAATAATGGTATTTAAGCAACACTGTATTCGCCATATCCATCGTCGACGACGTGTTTCGCTCAATTCAGAGTACTTCAGGCCGGCTGGGATACAACGAACACAGTAGTGGTCGGAATACCATCTGTATAGGTCACTATATTATGAATGCAGTATTAAAACAATATAATAGGCCTAACATAATGTCTTAATAAAAACATAATTAGAGATAAACAATACTTATAATCTTTGTTATTTTAGCATAAGTGTGAGTCAAAAAAGGTCTCTCTATAATATATAACTCATTTTAGAATCACCGTTATTCTTGCCTAAGAATTATATGTCGGAAAAAATATTTCCATGAATAGTTTCTAGTCTTACCTTCATAGTAAACCTTCCTCCCTTTACAAAATTAATTATTGCACGATAAAAAGATAAAAGAAGGTAATTCAAATTATACACTTCAAAGAACGTTCTTTGTTGAAGCCAGCAAAGGTTGTCCATGTAACTCTAAAAACCCGTGAGTGAAAGCAAAGAAAAATATGTAATAATATGTCAAACATACTATACCCGCCATATCCAGTGACGACGAGACCTTTCTAACAATACCAGAGCTCTTCTGGCCGGCTGGGATACGACAGACATAGTAGTGATATAGGCGCTATTTATATCGTCAGATGCATGAACAAAAACCTTTATGGTTTGAACTGGGTTGTTAAGTAAGTGAATTGCATTTATTATTAACTTTATTTAAATCATTACAAATCAGGGTTAGTGTAAGGAAAGATAACACAGTATTTTAAGTGATAAGCCAGATTTAATGTGCTTACGATTATTTCAAGACTGATTCTGTTTACACTCATGTATGCGTAAAAAACTAGGCGGTACTAGGCGGTTAAGTAGGAAGTGAAAACCTTCAAACATCAACGTTGTGTTTTTTACGTGTTATTGTGTTGATTGTTTTCTACTTCACTCCTATCAATGCAAGAAGACAAACTGGACTAAATTTTTCATTGGGTGCCAAGTTTGTGATTGGTTAAAAAATACATAACAGCTGAGTTATACCGCATAAAACGTTATTTTCTTTATCCTTGCCATTATATGTCAGAAGAGCGACGGCCGTGCCACCTGGTAGTGCATTTTGGAAATTATTAGAATCTTGAATCTTAAACACAGATTTTTTCTCCCTTTTTTTAATTTCATATCTTTACCTTAAACGTAACTTTTTCATTAATCGAGATTACTTGCCATTCGTTCATGTATATTTTCTCTATGAAAATGTCTCAGATATTAAATATCAACTTATTTTATTATTTACAGTATTCCAGCATCTATACATATTCCAGTACTCCAAAATCTAGATATGCTAGTGTTCAAGCATCTATACATATCCCAGTACTCCAAAATATAGATATGCTAGTGTTCAAGCATCTATACATATCCCAGTACTCCAAAATCTGGATATGCTAGTGTTCAAGCATCTATACATATCCCAGTACTCCAAAATATAGATATGTTAGTGTTC